GAATTTACACAGCAGGTCACGTGCCGCACACGCTGGCACAAGCCGTCCAACTCATTCTCTCTCTCACGCTCTCTCTCTATCTCATCTCTATCTCTCTCTCCTCTCTCTCTCCTCTCTCTTCTCTGCTCTCTCTCTCTCTCTCTCTCTCTCTCTCTCCTCCGCTCTCCCTCTCGCTCGCGCTCTCGCGCTCTCTCTCTGCTGTACTCGCTGCTCTCTCTCTCTCTCTCTCTCTCTGTTTGTCTGTCTGTCATTCGTCGGTGCCACACGATGTTGAGGCACTGCCTCGTCATCATGAGAGAATGTGACATTAGGATACTTCGTACTGTATGTTGTACAGGTGCGTGGAAAACTATACGGCAACTGTATATGAACATACATCTTATGTCATTTAGTCATACGCGTGGAAAACCACGCCGCACACGGCAACTGTGTGTTAGGATACATCATATGATGTACCGTCGTATGCACGGAAAACCACACCGCCTCTGTACATGAGGATACGTCGTATGTCATACAGCCATATGTGACCCTCCCACAATTTGCCTAGGTCTTGAAATCTCAACCGATATATGAATTCGTGGCATAACCGATGTACTACCATCAAATATATAATCTCATGGATTACTACAGTACAGACACATCTATAAAATGCATTCACAGCAAGGTAATAATAACGCTTGCTGATGCACACATCACTGCATTCTACGATGAAGCTGTGTATTCTGAGGAGAACACGCACGTTCACGTGACCTCACCCACACCTACCTCGTATTGACGATGTGCCACGCCCAGCAGTGGGCGTCCTGCGTCATCGTGCCGCGAAATTCCGGAAAGCTCTTTTCAAGTTCGTCCATGAATTTCTTCACGTCTGCGGAAAAGGAGATTAGGCAATTAAGTGACGGAGCGTGGGGTGAGGAGGTAGAAGTGCTTCTGTTAGTGTACGCAAGCATTTATCACAGCAGGTCACGTGGCTTGGCCGCTGGCAAAAGCTATCCGATTCATTCTCTCACTTTCTGCCTGCCTGCCTGCCTGCCTATCTGTCTGTCTGTCTGCCTCTCTCTGTCTCTCTCTCTCTCTCTCTTTCTTTCTCTTGCTCTCTCCATCCCTCTCTGCTCTCTCCTTCTCCCTCCTTTCACCACTCTCTTTTTGTGTGTTTCGTTGTCTCTCTCTTTCTCTTGTGCACTCACTAAGTCTTACACTCTGTCTCTCTCTCTCTCTCTCTCTCTCTCTCTCTGTTTCTTTTCTCTCTCCCCTCTCGCTCCTCTCTTTCCTCTCGCCCTCACCCCCTCCTCCTTCCCCTCTCCTCTCCTCCCTCCTCTTGCTGCTCTCTCGCGCGACACGCACCATTGTACGACGCAGCGATGGCGGTGCGCTGCCTCCGCACGGCGTCGTCGAGGCTCCGTGGAAGCTCGCGGAGCTCCCGCCGCGTGAAGTACGCCGGTGTCGTGAAGCGCTCTGGCAGCGAGTCAACGTATGGTTGCCATGGCGACCGGTCGCCGCAGCAACGCTCACAGACGAGGAAGACACTGAGCACGTCCACCGGCGCCAGTCGCGGATGCCAGCTGTCGTAGAAGAGGGAGACGTTAGGAGAGAGTTATAGGAGAGAATATATGCTAGAGAGAAGAATCCGCTATATCTGCCGGCGCCTACGAGCATGCAGCAGTATGCAGCAAATTTCACTATTTTTGTAGAACAGAATTTAAGATTATTAAAAATGTTAGATTATTAAAGAATAATGATAGAATTTTCATAAAATTTGCACCATTTTATCCAAAATAAACCTAGTATTCAGCACTCGCTTTGCTAGGACACAAATGTTCCCGACAATTTGATACCCTAGCTCCGGCTTTCTCAATCGCAGGTGATACCCTCACCTGCTGACGTGGGGACCGAGGTAGGAGTCAAGCACCGTCTGCGTTGTTATCATCAGCTCACGAGGTAGAGACACGAGAACCTGTCCGGAGCTGATCGACTTGCACGCCATCAGTCCTCGTCCCGTTCCTACACAACGACAACGCAACAAACGCGCCGTCAGACGGGCGGAAAGCTACATAGCCGATAGGGGAGAGCATTAACGAATTAATGGTAAACTAGAAACCTATAGCTTATCTATTAAAACCTGTGTTGATTCGTAATTAAGTTTGATGCCAAACGTTACGACTCTCCCCTTCTTCGTTACAGTTTCTCAAGTGGACTGCAAAGAATATTCTACTTATGAGGTCATGACACGAACGTTAGACACTCGCCTCTTTCATTTACTGTCGCGTGGAACATGAGGAAGATCGTTACGAGCTATCGAGCAGGCTAGATCGAAATCCACGAACCGGGAAAATCGGCAGGGCGCAGTCTACTAGTGTTCCTGAACCCGTGTTTCTTGAGCCAGCGGTTGAGGCGTATGGTTGTGTCGCAGTTGTCGAGCGGGACGGGTCGTGTCACCGCACAGCCTTCCCGTGCGCGTCTCTTCTCCCGGCCCCGCCTCCCTCTTTTCCCCGTCATAATGGACGAGGAGGTCTCATACGTTTACTTGCCTAAAAATAACTCGGTAAAAGTAACGTGGTATGCTCTCTACGCACGATCTATATGGGTATATGCGAACAACAATTTTACAGATCGGCAAATTTGGCAATCAAAATGAACAGATCGCGGTGAAGAGATCCGAAGGATTTTGCATTTCTCGCCAAGTATTCAAACCATCCACAAGATGTGGCCCATTTCTCAGCATTTGATGTGTACAGTGTCACTGAATGTATGTTTAGTATTACTATTTAGTATAGCTGAGAGGGTCTATGTCCCCCGGGGTACTGCCAGAACGTACCCTGGGTACGGTCCGGTATACCGGAACGTACCTTGGTACTATATTATATGCCGAACCGTACCTCGCCTACTCCACTAACGAGTGTCTAGGGTTAGGGTTAGGGTTAGGGTTAGGGTTACCGTTAGGGTTAGATACAATAATGTAACCCAAACCCAGAGAGGATAGCCCCCCTCCTCTCCTCTCCTCTCCTCTCCTATCCTCTCCCTCCCTATCCTCTCCCTACCCTCCCTACCCTCCCTACCCTCCCTACCCTATCCTCTCTGGGTTTGGGTTACATTATTGTATCTAGGTTAGGGTTACTACGCCTACTCCCTAACCCTGTAACCTGAACCCGAACCCTAATCCTAACCCTAACCATATAAAATAGTGACCAGGGTACGTTCCGGTATACCGGACCGTACCCAGGGCACGTTCCGGCAGTACCCTGGGGGACATAGACCCTATGACTTTGAGCTTTAGTATACTATGTCAGCATGTAGGTTCTTGGCATTGGCAACTTGACACAAGTTTAAATTAGACTTAGAGTGATGAAAATGAAAATGATTAGAGTGATGAAAATGACGCAAATCGATAGTGCCTTGAACTATCGAAATGTACCTGGAAATGTACCTTGTTCCGGCCCTTGTGCCAGCCAGTTATGCATAGATATATTCCCTTGGAATTTATCAGAGATTAAATTATATCAAAAGGTGTACACCTTCTTTCGTAGGCAAAGTAAGTTACCAACGAAACACCATTTTCAGTGTTGTGCGCGCCATCTACCGACTCATATAATAATCGCCCGGTGTTGTGTCCACTAAGATATATTATACAGATCTGGCAGGTGTGTATATAAGAGTATATTATTATATCATATAATAATAATATATAAAAAAAAGTTGGTCCCCGCTATACTTTAATACTGGCTAGCGATGCCTGCCTTATTTCTTAGCATAGTGTGCGTGAGCAATCACTATCAGAAAAGTTTGTACAAATAATCCACAGTAGTACATTACAATGAATACCTACACTACAGTTACTAGAACAGACACGAATGACAGCGGGGTTTTTATTCTGCGGTGAGTTGGCGATGAAAAAAAACTGTCAAGTTAGGCTAATGTTAACTGAAATTCTCTATTTTTATTATTATCAACTATTCAAAGCATTGGACATATACATGGTTCATGTTACCACAAACTGCATATGTTACTGTTGGGGTTTGTTACACCAGAGTGCAACAGAAGTTACAGATAGAAGTTTTAGAATGCAGCAGAAGTTAAGATTTAGAATAGAAAACAAAACAATAAATATAACGAATATAAATATAATATGATATAATAAAGCGTAAATAAGCGCGTACTTGTGTTTCAGGTCACGCAGCCGGGATCAGCTGTCTATCTCTAGCTGGCAGCGGCCGGGCACTGGTCAGCGGATCGCTGGACGGAGTGGTCGCTGTTTGGGACATAGTGTCCGGACTAAACCTACACATGGTGCAGTAAGTATCATAGACAGATCGACACATAGTGTCAGGACTAAACCTACACATGGTGCAGTAAGTATCATAGACAGATCTCCACATAGTGTCAGAACTCAACCTACACATGGTGCAGTAAGTATATCATAGACAGATAGGGGACACATAGCGAAAGACTTATATAAGAACAACTCAGATGAATGAACTGATAGTTTAAAACGTGCTTAGGTATAAACAGATAGGTGAAAGCAGATGAAACATACTAAGGGACAAACAGATCGATGAAAACACGCCGAGTAATAGACAGATGGACGGAAACATTGGACGGGGGATGAACAAATAGAGGCGAAATAGTCTCAATGATCGACAGATAGATGAAAACATGCTGAAGAATAGACAGATAGATAGATAAAAACATTGGGAGGAAGGTACAGACAAATGTAAACAAACTAAAAAAAATGTACTAAAGGAGCAAGAAGCACAGACACATCCGACATCACACAACAGACTACAAACAACGAATACATGCAATATATGTATATACATGTAATGTATATGTAATATACATCCTGATACAATCAGGGGTTAATAATGACAAATTTGTCAATTATCAATATTATCAATTATTTGTCAATTATCAAATTTGACAATTTGTCATTATTAACCCCTGATACAATACATGTGATATACTATATTACATGTTACGTAAAGTTAACCAACCCGCCAAGACAGTTGAATGTGACTTAGAGACACAGATATTTGACGCATGCGACACGTGTCCTTCACAGTGTCACCAAGGTCGCGATCGCCTGCGTGACAGTCTGCAGCGGTGACAAGCTAATCGTCGTCGGCTGCGGCGACGGCAGCATGTACACGGTTGCCATGGATACGGGCAAGGTAACGAGGACACTGGACGGACACCTGGATGCGGTGTCCTGCAGCGTTGTCACGCACAACGATGACATCTTCATCTCAGGTAAACGACAGCGCGGGTGTGTCAACCCGCGTCAGGGGACACCCGGACACGCACAGCGTGCTGGTGGAATTTTTTTCAAAATTTGATGACCCTTATTTTTAATCATTAATAAAATAATTAATGTAATATGAATAAATGATTGAATTCTTAAATAAATATTTAAATTCAAATTTGCTGTAGTCATTCATCTATAAACAAGACTTACTGTGCGAAAATTCGTGCCCGGCCTAGCTATTGTGCCAGGCCACGTCGGTCGGGGTAGGCTATTTTTATTTTACACATGTATTTCAAGCGTTTGCTTCAAATCGTCGAATTCTCGGCACTTCATCACTAAGCAGCGTTTTTAGAACGCTCATATCGCATGATAGGCTATAGCTACCCGTCAATCAATGCAGACAGATAGACAGATTAAGCGCTGAAGGACATATTCACAGTGGCCGCGAGTGGATCCCTCGATCGTAACAGAGACTTTGCACAGGTTCCAAGGACTGCCACGTGAAAATCTGGGACATGGAGACGTTCAATTGTTTAAACGAGCTGAACATCGGCATGTCGGCGATCAGCCACCTGGCGGTGACGGCTGACAACACGTTTCTGCTGGTGGCGTGCTGCGACAATACGATAGACATTAGGTCGCTGTCAACGGGTACCAGCATTTACCGACTACGTGATCACAAGTCACTCGTAAGTATTATATATATCAAGAGTAGATAAATAACTATCTATTATCTACTCTTGATATATATATATATATAATTTCGAAAAATGCGCACATCACGACTTTCCCGCTTTTCCAATACGTCCGCTCGTCTTGTCAATTTATTCCTAAATAGACTACCGGAAAACCGCTACGCGAACACACACACGAACACGCGCACACGAGCGAATACACATGCCCACGCGCGCGCACACACACGAGCAAACACACACCAGCGAATACACATGCACGCACGCGCGCGCACACACACGAGCAAACACACACACGCGCACATGAGCAAACACTCACAAGCAAACACACACACACGCCCAGCTGCTGCTGCTGCTGCTGCTGCTGCTGCTGCTGCTGCTGCTGCTGCTGCTGCTGCTGCTGCTACTACTTTCCTATCTCCAGCGAGCACAACGTATTCATATCTGAGCAGAAAACACAATACAATATAATAAAATACAAAATAGAACATAATATAATATAATATAAAAGAACATATAAGGTACAATATAATACAATATCAGCACCTGATGTGATTTATGTGCTCTGATAGCATCAGAGCATATAAATCAACTTGCTCCGATAGCATTTCCTAATACCATTGGATGGTGGCGCCCCCAGCAAAAGGAGCGGTACATGCTAAAGAGTGCTACTCACTGATCTCTATGTATACTAATTATATAATTATATTATTTATTTAGTATAATAGAGATCAGTGTTGCTACTCTGTCAAATTATGATTCGTTATACGTTTTTTGGATAAAAAATCTTTCTCTTGTAAATTTTCAAACACTATTGATTCCAACAGTCAACAGGGCCGTATTTAGCGGGGAGAGGGGAAAAGGGTTGCGGTCAATGCATTTGTTTATATATCACCATTGTTATCATATCTCGATTCGTGGAGCACGTGAGCGCAAATTGGCGTCCAAATTGTCCGCAAGAGATCACTTGAATTAAACATATGACAGATGACAAGCAACAGAAACAAAACATTGATATTACACAAATGATTATTTTTACATCTTTTAATGCATAATTACAAATTCGGAACAGGACAACTGACACACGACACGCAATAGCATGTTGTCACAATGTCTCACAGATAACAGGATACCACTGCCCCAATTCCTTACAGTTGATGAGGCAACCCCTCTATTACAGGTGAAAGGTCAACCTGCCCAAACGTTGACCCCCGTTCATACGACAGGACACCACTGTCACAATCCCTGACAGATGACAGGACACAACTGTCACAATTGCTGACAGATGACAGGACACCACTGTCACAATCCCTGACAGGTGAGACTGCCGTTACTATGACAACAGGTCACACGGCACAATCGTGCGTGATGCAGGGTTCGTTAACCTAAAGGAAAATATATTTTCAGGACTTTTCCAAGATGTGGAAGGTCCATTTACTAAAACCCAAATTTTTTTTATCACCTAATATAATCTTTGTACATCGTGTGTCTTCCAATCAACAACTTTGGAAAAAAAAACCCGACTTTAAGCAATATTTATGCCTCTCAGATAGTAAGCAGATCTTTGTCTTCAGTACATTACACTTCTCATCACCATTTATTCATAAAATGTGGAGACAATAGACATGTGCTCTCTCTCCATGACCAAACATAACAATGGCCTATTTTCCAGAATCTTCTAGGCATACGAAACGTCATTTTCAAATTCCATGAATGCGCAGGTTTTCCAGGACCAATGTGTGACCTGAATGACCTCTGTGTGAACCCCGTTACAGCATGGCAGACGACGGGAGACTACGGTAACGACCGCGACGTGATGCAGATGTGGAGAAAGTTGTCGGGATGCGACATGTATTCGCTCAGCCAAACGAGCGGCGTCTCCAATGGTGGCTCAATCCCCTGTATCAACACCCTGCTGCCACCTAGCGAGAAATAAACAAAATGAATGGTAACAAAGTGCCATGCAAACTGCATGCAGTGCTCCTTCGCTCACTCAGGATAGATTGAGCCCATGAGCGAGAGCGCCATCTGTCGTGGAGTTTGAGTCCCATGCTGACAGCTGGGTAAAGGAGATACTTCTTCTCACGACCAACACTGCGTTAACTAAATTTAATTATTAATTACTTATTATAAATTAATATTACACTTATACAAACATGTGTTTTACACCGGGAATTATTATTACTTGGATTTTGCCTGTATGTAATTTGTATATCATCACCAGTTTATTCGTAAAAACTAGCGCAGGTGGCCGCATCAGAGAGATAGTTGCTTTAAATAACCGATACATAAAAGAAAGACCACTATTTCCCTTTATATATAGAGTGTCCGTTCTATTGAGGTCATCATTAATGCGGGTTTGACTGAGCCACCCTTTACGTACTCGCCTCTCAAGGTACCGAGTAGGTAGGTAGGTGAAAAATCTTTTTTATTTTGTTTTGACAATTAAGATGTGTGTATGTATATTGCATATTCTGTTTTGTGTATATGTTTTTGCGGAACAAATATATTTTTTTTTTTTTGCGAAACGAAATAATTTTTGTTTTGTTTTAATCGGTCAATAAAATGTGTCGAGTAGCGGCGTTTTGGCGAGTCGGTCGGTAAAGGGGAAACAAGCAATATTTTATCTTAGGCCCTATGGCTCGCGTTAGTAGGGTCGCAAACACCCACCGTTGTTTGGCTGTGGGGTGAGCACACTGGGAAGCATCTGTTCTAGCAGCTCCTTCAAAGTCGCAGGCTTACCATCCTCATGCAACGGTTGGAACAACTTTTGGATGAGGGGCTGCTCAATCTACGGCAACGCAAATGCAAACACACACGTCAGTCCACAACAGCATGAACACAGATTAACACAATTGAACACAGGTGAATCTACGATTTGAAACACAATGTCAAACTGCGGCGGCATGTAAGCAAGTACACGTCAATATAATACGATGGCAGGAATAAACACACATGCTCACGCACACACACACACACACACACACACACACACACACACACTTGTTCAGCCACAGGCACATACACACTATGCGAGCACACACACATGCGCACACATGCCCACATGCAAGCACGCACGCATGCACGCACGCACACGCACTCACACACACACACACTTGTGCAGACCCAGGCACACACACATTCCCAAACAAGGCAGAATTATAACCTGATAGATGCGGAAAGGAATAGATCGGAACTGGTTCTCAACCGTCTGTTCCATTAGTCGTCGATTGATTGTCCAGAACTCCTCAAACTTATCTGAAACAAGTGACAAAGCAACAAATTTAATATGATTATGCCACCCCAAATAGTACTAGCAATTTGATTGACAAACCAATAAAAAGGTTATGGTTACTGATCTCTCATTCACTCGAGCTACTTTTTGCTGTAACGCACAAGCCATGCAGCCATACAGTTAAAAAGAATCATTCTGCTATTCGAAAGCTCATGGGCTCACTGTACAAGGATTTATCTAATGATACCAGTAACTGTACTTCACGTAAAATTTCGTTCACAAGCTTCATGCTTCTCGTAAAAACGGCGGCGCGACCGTTCCAATTGTGTCACGTTTACTCAAAATGGCACAGCCAATCGGGTCGCATCGACTCAAAACGGCATGGCAAAACGGGTCGCATCGACTCAAAACGGCATGGCAAAACGGGTTGCATCTACTTAAAAACGGCACGGCCAATCAGGTCGCATCTACTCAAAACGGCATGGCAAATCGGGTCGCGTCGACTCAAAACAGCACGGCCAATAGGGTCGCGTCGCCTCAGCACGAGGCGCCACCTGGCGGGCAGCAACGCGACTCACCGTCGCGCAGTCCGCTCCACAGCTGCTTGTGGTCTCGCTTCTGCATGCCGCTCATGACGACGCCGCGGTGCTTCAGCGCGTCCGCCTCCTTCACCGTCGCGATGAAGTGCGACTCGACGGCGTCGCGGCTGCCGCACCGCAGCAGCTCGCTCTCCGGAAACTTCTGCGGAACGAAGCGTCAGCATTAGCATTACCCAGTAGCATTACCAGTAGCAGTAGCATTACCAGTAGCAGTAGCATTACCAGTAGCAGTAGCATTACCAGTAGCATTACCAGTAGCAGTAGCATTACAAGTAGCAGTAGCATTACCAGTAGCATTACCAGTAGCATTACCAGTAGCAATAGCAGTAGCAATTCCAGTAGCAATAGCAGTAGCTGCTTGCTCTCTGGAAACTTCTGCGGGATGAAGCATTAGCATTAACCAGTAGCATTACCAGTAGCATTACCACTTTACCAGTAGCATTACCAGTAGCATTACCACTTTACCAGTAGCATTACCAGTAGCATTACCACTTTACCAGTAGCATTACCACTTTACCAGTAGCATTACCAGTAGCATTACCACTTTACCAGTAGCATTACCAGTAGCAATACCAGTAGCATTAGCAGTAGCAGTAGCTTACCATGTTTCTGTCAACAGTCTACAAGAAAAAAGTCAATGTTTAAGACTAATGTTAAGACTAATTTTGTTTAAGACCACTGTACCCTTGGCTATTTCTATGTTACTCATACCCAATGCAGATTTGACAAGCATATTGTGCGATATCATTGATCTATAAAGTTTGTGATGAACTCGCCCAGGCGATGAATGATTGTTAGGGAATCTTCTTACTTGAAAATGAACGATGACGTTCCATGGAAGCTGATCCTGGTCGGCTGCATACAAGTCATATAAAACTCCTATCGGGTAGTGCCTGTCAAGATAAACAAAGTGTTATTATTATTATTAAATCTTTATTGTATGTAATTCAAATTCAAGTACATGTACTGAAGACAGTCTTTTTCATGGAGAAAAAATCTGATAAATGCAATAGTGTTGAGCAGTTAAAATAATACAATTTCTGAGTGATACGTACAGTACAAAACAGTGCTATACAACACGAAGGAAAAAAATATATACAAAAATACCTATACAAAAATCTACGGTACCGATCCTGAAATTCGGCGACTGTGTAACATCAAATCTATCAATCGATCAACAGTGAGCCAATCAATCAAGTGTGACTCACCAACACTTGTTTATTATTTGTTACTAATCCACGTTCAATGATCAACATAACAAAAGAGAACAGAAATTTGAATGTCGAGAAATGTGAACTTTACATGTGCGCTCATTTCGCTTGACAATTTCTATTACTACTCATTCTAAACAGCAAATTTATTGAACGAATTTCAGTGTCTAAACCCTATTGACATTTCCTTTGCCAATACTAGCTGCCTCACTGTCGGACTAAGAAGACGACCATCCTAGTTCAGTGTTTCCCCTAGCCAAAAAAGACCATGAGGTGGTAAATTATTTTGTGTGTGTTTGCGCATTTTGAGGTCCTAGTAAAGCGAGCACCACAGGTGTTCGCCCAGCTAAAAGGGTTCTGGAATTTTTTTGAAAAAATGGTGCAATTTGATGCATTCTAAGCTATATTGGCGCATTCTAAGCTATATTGGTGCATTATAAGCGAGCGAGGCATTATTTCGTCAGCGAGGCAGTGTTTTGGACAAATTTCTGTGTGGCGGCTGAGAATTTGAGCGAGGCAGCCCGCCTCGCTCACGTCAATGCAGGGGAAACACTGCTAGTTGACCTATTAATCTGGAGTGATTGATAAGCAGCTCATTAGCTAATTAGTGTTGAGATAGCAACATTCGTAATATTCAGCCAGTCAGAGTTCTTCTAAGGGAAATTAAACAAAAGAGGTAATGGCCAGTTTGGGGAAAAACGCGCATGATGGATTCAAAGTAGGCATGCCTGCGGACGCTGAAGGCGGATGTGGGGGGAGAAAAGGAGAGGGGAACTCCCGCTCTCGCTGGGGGGGGTTATGGGGCGTCTCCCCCAGCAAAATTTTAAAGATTTGAATGTCTTATACTACATTTGAGACACCATGAAAATAAAATGACACTATTTTGACAACAGCGGGTAAATACAGGAACATTTTCACAACGACAATGTTAAATCTAACAACGGCGGTGCACCACACTGTGCATCTTATGTATAAGAAACCCTGAGCCTAATAGCAAACAACTTGGCACACATGAGAAACATTTCTAACGTGATCCAGCTTAAAGCCCTAGCAGCAATATAAAAACCAGGCTTCATAATCTCACTCAGATAAATATTAAACATCAACGATATATTTAATATCAAGTAATCAATTGTTACTAATCGGGTCGCACCACTTCAGCGGCTGCCCTTGAAACTCGAGCCACATCTCTCCCTGCGTGTCGGGCTGGACATACTGAGAGAAGAATCGTACCACCTTGTCGGAGACGATAGGGAAATAGCTGAGTCTCGGCACCAGCAGCTGCGAACACAGAAATGATATAATCAGGAGTAGATGATATAGAAACGAGTACAACTTCGTCAAACGTGAAAATTTGACATGTTCATGCTCTAATTTACCTACGATTTATAAGCTGCCACTATTGTAGGTCTCAATTAATAGCCTTCAATAGACCTCACTTTGTTTACATCTTACTTAAATATCATAAAACACTTGCAAAAAATAATACATTATCAGCTTTGGAAATTTCTTCTTTCACCTTTTATTTTGTAAAAATATCACGACATTAAATGTTCGAAACTTCGTCAGAACAGAAATTGTAAACTTGTAATGTTTTTTGTCTCTTATGCTTTGTGATGTGTTCCCACCGACCAATGAAATCATCGCTGTTCAGTGGCAGTGCAATAGATTAATAACGATTGCAATTTATTTTGTTCTGATAACAAACATTGCATATTTGCAATTTCTGTCAACAAAATTTCACCACATTGCCCATTAAAGGCTATTGGGTCCTATAATAGCAAGGCTATTTCTACGGCACAATTTATTGGCCTACGCTAATCACTGCACAACCCTACACACACACACATTTGGCATTTTAGTTATATTTTACACACTTACTAAGTCACCTAATGAATTTTAATTCGAATTGATAGAAATGAGGAGGATTAATTATACACAGTCGATAAAACCGTATACGGTAGAGTATCCACTTCTGCTATTTTACCGTACAGTACTTATGATTTGCTATTATATTTATGTATGTGTATATACAGTGTTTCCCCTGCATTGACAGGAGCGAGGCGGCTGCCTCGCTCAAATCTCAGCCGCCATGCAGAAATTTATCCAAAAACATGGCCTCGCTGACAAAAATCAGTGTTCTTCCATCAATAAACTACACTTTATTGACAGCGTTCGAAATTAGTGCCGACCCGGAGGCCCGAGGCCACCAAGTTTTTGCTTTGGCCACCATCTCTACGAAACTGCCGGTCCTCCTGACCGACACTTTTTCCCCTCATATTACGCTGAAATACTACAATTATCGCAACGGCAGTTAAGACAGAATTGTAAACGAGAGCGAATTCTAATACGCTCCGTTCCTGAACGTAGACGGGGTATCCAAAACAACAAATGTGTAGAAATAAATGGGATTTGAACCTAAAAGTTTTCTAGATAGCTAAACCTTATGGGATTCGAATGTAATGTTGATGACGTTATAAATATAATAGCCAATCAAATGTGGTGTACGGTAAAATAGAAGAAGTGGATACTTTGCCGTATACGGTTAAATATCTACTGCCTTATTTATATGTGGAAATTAAGGCAACTTTAGATGCCTCTCCATGTCGAAATTAGGATTTCGTACATAGTAGACGTCAGGCTGATCTGGACTGGTATATTCATCCTGGGAGAGTGTGAAGCAAACGGGAATCCGGCCATCCCAGATATCTCTTAGTATTTGTCTATCCTCGATCATTGTCACGATTTGTGCAGCAAGCAAGAAAACCTGTGGAGGTGCATGAAAACCACAAGTACTACAGTACAACTTACAAGTACAATTGTTTAGGCTTTTACAACTACCGCTAAACAAAATCCGGCTTTTACCGAACATTAGTATTACTATTTGTAATAGTGGTTAGTTATAACTGGCAGTAGGCCTAATAGTAGCGGCAGTGACAACTGTGCTGTGTAGATTGTAGTGTACCGTGTACGGCGTACAAACCACAGGCACTTGGACCGTTTCAATAATAAAATGATGGTTAATAAATACAACTTGTCAGTAGCCTACTACTACAGTACCAGCAATAGTCTTAATGTTTGATTTGACCTAATAACTTCACTTCAACACCGTTAAATACACCGATGCAACACATAGCCCGCACGCCATTGTGCATGCACAGATACACAGTAGATAGGAGCTCCTATCTACTGTGTATCTGTGCATGCACAATGGCGTGCGGGCTATGTGTTGCATCGGTGTATTTAACGGTGTTGAAGTGAAGTTATTAGGTCAAATCAAACATTAAGACTATTGCTGGTACTGTAGTAGTAGGCTACTGACAAGTTGTATTTATTAACCATCATTTTATTATTGAAACGGTCCAAGTGCCTGTGGTACAAACGGTAGCCAGGCTCGTCACTAGGCCTACATCACAATTCACATTCACACACATTTCCTTAGATAATCGCATATAAGTTTATAACTTATAAGTTCGTATAGTGCATAATACCGTGTATGCTGTTATTCGCTATTGATAATGAAGTACAGACACACCATGCATTGATTGATATAGGCTTAACTTGCCATATAATACGAAAATAACGTTTAGACATACGGAACATACTTGTTTACACTATTTCCAGGAGGCTGCCATCGTTGCCTATCTGCGTTCGTCTTGTTTCGGGCGTATCCGTGATAAATACTTTTCATTTATTTTTATTTTTTTTATTGTATTCTTTTTTATACACATCGCCAGTTATTTTCAACAATTTATTACATAAATGGATTGCTGACTCCCTTGCACCAGAACTATATCGTCTATTTTTCTCCCGGGGGGTTAGGTTGGGCCGGGCACAGGGACCTGAGGCGAAAAAAGAAAGAAAAGTGTTATATATATAAATAGGTGTATATATATATAACACTTTTTTTTTTTTCGCCTCAGGTCCCTGTGGGGCCGGGGGGCACTCGCACTCGGTACTGGGAACGTGCACGCACGTACACGCGTGTGCACGCGCCACGCGGGTACACGCACGTACACGCTGGTACACGCGGGTACACGCACGTGAACGCACGTACACGCGGGTACACGCACGTGAACGCACGTACACGCGTGTGCACGCGTGTACACGCACGTGCACGCTGGTACACGCGGTTACACGCAGATACACGCACGTAAACGCGGGTACCCGCACGTGCACGCACGTACATGCAGGCGTGTGCACGCGGGTATACGCACGTTCACGCGGGTACACGCACGTATACACGCTGGTACACGTGGGTACACGCACGTGCACGCACGTGCACGCGGGTACACGCACGTCGTACACGCAGATACACGCACGTGCACGCGGGTACACGCACGTACACGCAGATACACGCACATGCACGCGGGTGCACGCACGTACACGCGGATACACGCACGTACACGCGGGTACACGCACGTGCACGCTAGTACACGCACGTACACGCGGGCACACGCACGTACACGCACGTACACGAGGGTACACGCACGTGCACGCGGGCGCAAGCACGTACACGAGGGTACACGCGCACGTACACGCGGGTACACGCACGTACACGCAGATACACGCGGGTGCACGCGGGTACACGCACGTACACGCGGGTACAAGCACGTAACCCCTTCCTTTTCCTTTTCCCATTTCCTATTTAGACTTTTAAAATAGGAAACGGATCAGAAACCCATTTCCCATTTCCTATTTAGACTTTTAAAATAGGAAACGGATCAGAAACCCATTTCTTATTTTCTATTTTTATTTTAAAAATAGGAAATAGGCCAGAAACCCATTTCCTATTTGCAACGTCAAATGGGAAAACAAACTAACGGATCAGAAACCCATTTCCTATTTGCAACGTCAAATGGGAAAACAAACTAACGGTATGTACCGTGATTTAATCGATTTGATTGCCCGGCTATGATTTGTATTCATAAATTCGCCGCATGCTATATATTTTCGGCGCGAATGGGCATGCGCAAATCCGATATTTCCCCATTTGAAACTGATTCGAATAGTACATGTGCGAAAACGCACAAACGGGATTTACTGGATGCCCTAGAGTTGCCGACGGCAAATACCAACTAACTCGTTCGTACACTCAGGATACCACTGCCACAATGCTAGCAATATTTTTAAAGTGGGCGGAGCTCCGGGGAAATGTGCGCTCAGCACTTAGGATCAACACCTCTTTTCGGCAACACTTCTCTGGTATCCCGTCTCTCTATGTTCCTCCATCTTTCAAATCTATGGTTCCCAACATATTAGAATATGTTTCGCTAGGCTGTTGCCGCTATACACTTCAAAACTGCTCTAAATTGGATGTTATTCAGCATAAAGCTGCGCGATGGGTTTCCAAAAACTATCATGATAGTGCTGATGTTGTTTTCGCTCAACTTGATTGGCATTCCAAGGGCGTAGCTAGGGTAAAATTTTGAAAATGTAGATAGCAGGAGATGGTATTTGTGCCACTTTTGAGTAAATGTACACTGTAAACAGCCTTCATTCTGACTACGACAATTATCTTTTTAGTAGAACTATTCTCTTCATGAGCAACAAGATGTGATCACTAAAGATCACTATAACTAATCCTGTAATTTTCGTTTTATTATCAAGACGAAAATTATGAATGTTGAACTAACGCACATTCTTAAACTCCCTCTCTCTCGCGCGCGCTCTCTCTCTCCCGCTCTGTCTGCAATAAAAAAAACGTTTGGTGAAATGATGTGTACGCAACTACGTATCTGCGTTATGGTAGCTGCGGGCCTGGCTTCTTCTTCGAGTCCGCTTTCTCCATGCTAATTGCTTTTCATAATATTTATTATGGTCAGGTGAAGATTGGCATTCGCTCTTGCTTGTTGCCTCAAGCCTATTCGTTGCACTCGATCATCTGAGCGTGATCATTACGTTCGACATGTGCCATCTTCTAAGGATCCCTTTAAGTTTACTTTCTTTGCTTCTGTTGTTCCGTATTAGAATTCTCTTCCTTAATTCCTCTTTAGTAAATTGCAAATTTGAGATTTTTCTACTGCGATTCGTATAGTGTTGATCTGTCTATTTGATCAACTCCAGTGGCGTAGCCAGCAATTGGAAACAGGGGGGGCCAAGACGAGGGAGCGAAGCGACGAGGGGGTAGGGTGTGGGAGGGGTATCCCCCCTCCCACGGTAGGGAGATTTTTTAAAATTCGTGCATGAAAATGGCATTTTCTGCACACTAAAATTCAGTATTAGGGGTAACTTATATGA